CAACTTACTCCTTTGCCTGTGTCTTGCACTGCAAGTCAAACTTAAAAGCTGAGCATTGCTGCTCATTTAATTTTCCACTGACACCAGTTCTCTCATTCCAGGAGACAGACCCTCCCACCATGTCATCTGACCAGACCTCTCAATCTACAGTACCACCTCTCCACTCTCCAAAGTCACCTGTGTGGCCTATTTTCCCATTCAACAGAGAGGGAAGCCGGATTTGTGAGAGGGGAAGTCATCTTTTTCGGGACTTACCCAGCCCTCTTCCCACAAAAAGAACGAGGACTTACTCTGCGTAAGTATTCCAAATTGACCAGAAGTATGGATTTTTACCTTAGAATTTGATGACATGGAGCCTATTAGCTGAGGCCGGAAAAAGTGAGGAATTGCAGTCATGTCTGCAAGTATCTCTGTCCTTGTTCCCAGGTGAATGTAGTTCTGATCCATTTCTCCCTGATTCTCTACACATTATGATCCTAGAGAAAGAGTTGAACGTTGCAATGCTTGCAATTCTGCTTTTTTGATAACTTTGATTATTCAGTTCCCCACCCAATGACAATACCAAATTGCACCCATATTTCACAAAAATTATCATAAGAGCCAGGTCATAGCCCTGTTTAATCCATGATTTTGTTTTATACAATTGCCATTTCAGTGTATTTAATCCTGGAAGTTCACATACGGGAACAGGTTATACATGAGAAATCAGACTACTATATTCTGTTAGAGAAGGAAATGTCAACCCACTTCAATATTCTTCCAAGAAAACCAAATGGATATTCCCAATCAGGACAATATCAACATGATACTGGAAGCTGAATGCCTCAGGTTAGAAGGTATCATATACAGTAAGCTATTGGGGAAGAATAGAGAGCAAGTAGTAGTAATACTGGTGGTGCTGCTGAAAGAATATCCAGTCACTTAGATGTCCAGAGATACAATACAAGTTTGATATTATTGTTACATACATCATTAGTATGTGGACCATCAGAACCATAAATCAAGATAAACTTGATGTTGTCAATAATGAATATTAACATTGTGTGAATCAACAAACTGAAATGTACTGGAATAGATCACTTTACATCAGTATTAGATTGTGGATGAGAAATCACAGAAGTGGGGTAGCCATTATTATTCATATCAAAGTCAATATTGTGGTGATCCAATACCACAGGTGTAAAGGAAGTAGAAGTTGAATAGTTCTGTGATAATGTGCAGTGTTTTATTGATGTAACATCCTCCCAAATGTCATTCTTTTTATAGGTGATTGCAGGGCTAAAACTGAAATAACATCTGGAATAATGTAAAAGTTGGCTTCAGTATAGAAAGGAAGCAGGAGACAAACTAAAAGAGCTGCTGAGGCAATTTAACATTTATAAAAATTTCCTTCTTTTAGTCATCTAAAAGATGTTAGATTAATTTGTAATCTAAAAGATGGCGTTACATATAACTGAATCAGACTGAAAATATATGCTGTGATTTCAGCCAGCAAAAACAAGACCTGATGTGACTGCAGCTCAGTTCATGAATCCTTCATAAATTACAGTTTAAATTAAAGGGGAAAAATCATCAAACCAATAGCATACAATTTCAGCAGCTCTCGAATTATACAATGATGATAAATAAAATATTTTATGCAGTAGATGTAATAAATGAAAATTCTGAACTGATGTTTGTAACATGCTATAATGTTTGTAAAGCTAGAATAAAATAGAAATATCCTGATATGCAGAAAGAACAAAAGAAGGTGGCCAAATACATTTCTGTACATAAAGTTCTAGAGAAGAGCAAGAAGGGACAAGAGTTTTTTTGGATAGCATATTTAGATATAACAATCAAAAGGGAAAAATAAGAGATTTGTTTAAGGAGATCTTTGAAGTTAAGGAAAGCTATTACACAAAGGTAGACTCCATAAAAGACAACAAACACAAAGATGTATTGGTGAAAAATATGATATGAGTAAATGAAATATCTGTCTAATTGAAAAAAAAAGATGATACAGCCTAAAGAGGTGACATAGTTAAATGGGTTCTAGAAAAGATTGCTAACAAAATGTGCAAAAGTTAATGAACTACTAACCATACTATCCAAAACCTTTCAAATTGATGCAATTGAAGTACAAATAGTCCTCAACATGATTCTTCATTAAACAACCATTCAGAATTACGATGGCTCTGAATAAGAACAACTTACAGTATGGTGGGTGCTTGGAGTTTCAGTTATCACAGCATCCAAACAGTCATGTGATTACTAAATTCTGACATTCCTTACCAGGTTCCCACAAGCAACTTCAGGGGGGAACTGGCAGGATGTCAGAAGTTACTGTCACATTATGTCCTTGCTTAATGGTCTGCATAGTCATGTTTAATTTCAGCAACTGAGACTACCAGAATTGCTATTGCTAAGTGACACAGTCACAGGAAATTCCATTTCACAACTGTGTCATTTATCTGTTGTAAGCCAATTGCTGTTGTAAGCCACCTATACCATTAACAGTTTGTAATCGGTAGGAGCCAAGGTACTGAATTAGATCAATTAAGGAAACTTTTTAATTTTAATTTCCAGTACAATAGTAAAAGCAAATATAAAGAGAGAAAAATACAAAGAGAAAAAAAGTACAAAGAATGAAAAAGAAAACTAGAACAAAAAGAGGAAAGAAGTAGAATCAAAAGAAAAGAAATATGTAAAGAAGTGACTTCCAGTCTTCATCACAAGTAAAAAAAAAAGATAACTCATCATCCCCTGTAAGCTTAGATATCTCTTTTCCCCCCAGCCTATCCCTTCTATGTGGAAAACTATAAACCATCAACTTTTCAGTGCTGATATTAGCAAAATGTCTGTAAAGAGTTACCAGAGCTTTACAAAAACATGTCTTATTTTAATATTGATCACACAAACTAAAGTTATATTCCTTTTTTTTTACTTCTAACAATCTCAATTTTAATTCATTTAGATGTCTTTCTTTTTCCCATTGCAGAGGCTTCTTTGAGGCTTTAGCACAGGGGTCTCCAATCCCCGGGCCATGCAAGTGGCAGGCAAGAGCAAGTGCGCAGCGCTCCATTTATGCAAATGACGGGTATGAGCGCCTGCCCCTTGGACAAATGGAGCTGCTTGTGCATATGTGCATGCTTGCCTGCTGCTTGCGCGGAGCCATCCCTTCTCTCTTCCCATCGCTGCCGCCATTAGTCTGCAAGGCCAGATCTGCTTTAGCAGATCTTTTTTGTAAATTCAATGGAAAGTCCTTATTCAGGTTAACCGAAGGCTTTGAAGATTAGTTTTACTTTTGGGGTTACCTGTTGACTGCTGGTTTTTTTTTATAGCAAATGGTAGGTCAATTTGAATGATAAATTTCCACATCAGGGACATATTTTTGAGGATTGTAACATAGTAATAAATATAGATAGGAAAGTTATAATTATTTGTGCACTTATTATGTAAGGGGAAAAGAATATATCAGATATTTTTATGTATTTTTCAGCATTCAACCAGGGTTAAGATTTCATATTTAATGTCAGTGTGAATTATTCATCATTTGTTATTTTTTTGTGCACATTTTTTAAATTTTTATTGTTAATGTTAATTTGATGGTTGTTTTTTCTTTTCTTCATTTTATATTTTAATATTAACAATAAGATAAAAAATGTGAGAAGGAAAGACCCCATCTAGGTCATTGTTTTACTTATCTATTATATTTTCTTTTTGATTTTCAAAACCTTAACCAGCTTCTTTTCTGAATCCAGTAAAATGTTCTCAACATTTGTCTCTTCTCTGTTTTGTAATTCACATTTTTTCTTGTCATTTGTTGTTTTCAGTTTGAATGCTTCGTCTGTTTTATAATCCACATTTTTTAAAAATTCAGTTTTTCTGATTCCATTATTTTTGCAGCAGCAAAATTTGCTTCACAGATGCCTTCATTAGTCCATCCATAGTCTATTCATAAAAGCAGACATTGATATTGTGGCTACTAATTTCTGCCCCCATTCTTTGAAGATCTCTTTTACACCCACATGGAGAGAAATAAGCAATGGAGTACCACAAGGCTCCATCTTAGGCCCAGTACTCTTCAATATCTTCATCAATGACTTAGATGGGGGAATAGAAGGGGAACTCATCAAATTTGCAGATGACACTAAACTGACAGGAATAGCCAACACCCCAGAAGACAAGCCCAGGATTCAAAAAGATCTTGACAAACTTGAACAATGGGCCCTATCCAACAAAATGAGTTTTAATGTGGAGAAAAGCAAAGTTTTACATTAGGCAGGAAAAATCAAAAATATAAGTACAGATTAGGTGAGACCTGGCTCAAAAACAGTAACTGTGAGAGGGACCTTGGAGTCCTAGTGGACAATCACTTAAATATAGGCTAGCAATGCAGCAGCAGCCAAAAAAGCTAATATACAATTCTGGGTTGTATAAATAGAGGGATAGAATCAAGATCACGCGAAGTATTAGTACCGCTTTATAAAACCCTAGTGAGACCACACCTGGAATACAGCAACCAATTTTGATCACCATACTATAAAAAAGATGTTGAGATCTTGGAAAAAGTTCAGAGAAGAGCAACTAAGATGATCAAAGGCCTGGAGACTAAAACATATGAAGAACAGCTGCAAGACTTGGGTTTGGCTAGTCTAAAGAAAAAAAAAGAAATAAGGGTGACATGATAGCAGTATTCCAGTATTTGAGAGGCTGCCACCAAGAAGAGGGGGGTCACGTTATTCACCAAAGCACCAAAGGGCAGGAAAAGAAACAGTGGTTGGAAACTGATCAGAGAAGCAACCAGGAATTAAGGAGAAAGTTCCTAACAGTGAGGACAATTAACCAGTGGAACAGCTTGCCTTCAGAAATCATGGGTGCTCCATCACTGGAGGTTTTTAAGAAGAGGCTAGACAGTCACTTGTCTGAGATGATATAGGTTCTCCTGCTTGAGCAGGGGGCTGGACTAGAAAACCTCCAAGGTCCCTTCCAGCTCTGTTCTGTTCTATTAATATTTTTGTTGTTACAGTATTTTTGTGTCATTTTGTAAATCCCAATCCTAAAGGCAAGGGATTTTTTTCTTTTTTGCTTGGACGTTAGTCCCCTCTAGTGTCTAATTTAAATTATAAGATCTCTTATCTGTGTTATGGCTTGTATTCAAAATAATTCTGGTTCTCACCAAAAGCTGTTTATTTTATATAATTAAAAACAAAAAGAAAACAGAAATGAAGAAAATTGGATGCCTTTGAATTGTGGTGCATGAAGCAATGGTTAGAATACTTTGGTCTGCAGGAGGAATACATTATTCAATAGTAGAAGTAAAAATTGAATTACTCAATATTAATAATGAATGAAACTTTCATTTTGGACACAGAATGTGAAAGCATCCATCACTGGATAAATCCTAATGCCTGGAAAAATCAAAGACAATTGAAAAAGAAGCCTAAATACTAATTTTGAAGATACAAACATTAAAAGAATTTAAAGTAGTAGCTGGCAACACATCATCCTGGTGTAGCCTGCTCTATTGGCAGCATTTCCTGGTTGGCTGACTGGTTGGGGGCTCTCCCCTGGAATTGGGACAAGAAAGAGCCCTGGAAAGGGTGGCTGGGAGATGTAGTCCACAGCAGGGGAAAAGGACAAAATGGAGGAGCTGAGGAAAAAAGGACTGAGAGGGAGAGAAAAGAATAAATCTGCTACGAGGAAAAGAGGCTGCACTTTTTCAAAAGGAGAGAAAGATTGCCACCCCAAGGAAGAGAGGACAAGTATATCTTGGCCTAGAGATTGGATCCTGGCTGCCACAAGAGGGAGGCTCCTTAGGCCTCTGTCTGGGCCCACAGAGGACATGTTTTTAAGGCAACAGGATTGGTGAGGGAACATTTGGCCAAAAAGGACAGTCTTTGGGACTTTTTTAGTTGAGCAACATTGTCCACTACAAGGTTTAATATTTTATATTATTGTGTTATTTTAACTTGATTTTTATCTTAACTATTATTTTTAATTAAAGTCAGTAACTCCAAGTATATTGGTGTGCCTGGGCTTGGTCACCTGGGAAAAGGATAGGAGGGCCTGATTGCCAATGGCCCTTTTGGGGGAAGCGCTACACTGGCAAAATGATGTCCATCCGCTCATGAAAAATACAAAATGATAATGACAATAGTGAATCCTGGAGAATCTAATTTATACAGAAATATTGCATTGTTGAAATAGTATAAACAGACTGAGATTAGAAACATGTAGACATGTGAATCTCCAGATGTTGAATTCCAGACACATCTCCCATGAGCCATAGTCATCATGGCCCATGGTGAAAGGTAGTAATAGCTTAAACTGCATAAAAGCTGGAAGATTCAATATCAGAAGTAGATAAATAAAAAATCTAGAGTAACATGTTAGCTGGTCTTATGAGAGGTATATCAAAGATGTTTTTCAGTGTTTCCTATTATAGCACAATTACTCTTTGTTTATATTTTACCCACTTTAAGCATCCTCACGAAGAAGCAGGACTGCATATTGTTAATGAAGGTAATACTTCATAAGCAAGAATGGAGGCTTTAAGAAGAGATTGGACAACCATTTGTCTGAAATGGTATAGGCTTTCCTACTTGAGCTGGTGGTTGGACTTGAAGATCCCCAAAGTCCCTTTCAACTTTGTTATTCTGAATACCAGAGTAGCTTAGATTGATTTTCATTTTTCTTTTTTTCCTCCTCTCTTTTTCCTAGGACGGCTCGTGCCTCTGCTGGTCCCATCTACAAAGGTGTATGTAAGCAGTTTTCACGCTCCCAGGGCCATGGTTTCATCATCCCAGAGAATGGCACAGAAGACATATTTGTGCATGTTTCTGAGTGAGTTCTATGGGGAATGGAACATTGATGTCTTTAGTGGCTTACGTGTTTGTAAGTCAGGATCCCTATTTTTTCTCTGCATCCCAACTTCCATTATTGACATTATTGTATTCTTATGCACTACATGTTCTTTCACATATGGATACTTACAGAAAAAAAGATGAACCTGCTTTCTGTTCTTCCTGCTTTTCTACATACTCTAATACAATAATCACTTATATACAGTACATCTGTGTTGCAGTCTTTCCATTTCAATTTCTATAAGGTATTACTGTTCTCCAGAAACTTTCTTTTGAGTCAGTTATGGCAGGATAAAGGTCTACAAGCACATGTGTACATATTTGTGGTGTGCAGAGCAGTCAGTTTGTCCCCTTATTTTGAGACTTTGTAAAGTAGCTCAATCACTGCACTGGTAAAGAATGCCAGTCGTAGAGCTATTCAGGTGATCCAATGCCCGTCTAGTGGAATAGACTCCCCAAATGAAAAAAAAAAGGATGCAAGGATCAGTGCAAGGATCATGATCCCATTGAAAATGGTCCCATCAACATTCTCTATCAATCAACTTGAGGAGATGTATGATTGGTTCTGAAGGCACTTTCACAGCAGGTGAATGAGTGGCACCTAGTGGTGTGGACAAACAATATTCTGACCAAAACTTATGTAAACCACATCAAATTGAAAGTACGCTTCAGAAAAAAGCCACATGATTAATAATGTGAATATAGACATTCTTAAATTTTCTATATCAGCCAGGTACATAAAGGGAATAGCTAACAGGCTGAATTATTAATGCTTTCTTTCAGAAAGGAGCAGAGGTTTCTTGTGATACCTCAGGAAGATGGGGACCCCACGCCCATCAATTGGCCAGTTCATGACAATGAACCACATTATGTTCCAGAAGACTGTGGTTCTTCAAATTTGCCTTAGTAGAGATGAGAAAGAAGCCCTTGTGCCATCTCCTAAAATGCCCAGACATCATCTCTTCCAGCCTCACTGATTACTTGGAATCAGAAGGCTGCAACTTTGTGCTTGAAAAATGAATAGGAATATCTCCTGCATTCTAGTTTTCTAGATGCCATAGTGGAAACCATTTTGGCTTATAGAGCTATCATTTATTTGGTATGCCCTTAAACAATAATACAAATGAGTCTTGTTTGCATCTGGAAGATTGAGGTTCTTATAAAAGGTCTTGGGGAAAAAAAGACTTAGCAGCTAATATAGTACATAGGCAGCTGATGTTGATGAGGAACATCTATCTCTATGTGGTCATTCTTACATATGCTGCTTCTGCAGAGCTGCAAGATTTCTCATTGATCATTCACCATTTTCTTTTATCAGTTTTTTGAACTCTAATAATTGCTCCCTTTGGACTCATCAAATCCCATTAACCTCATCTTAACCAGAAAGACCGCATTTCTGATAGTCTTAGCTTCAGCTAGGTGGGTTGGGGAACTAGGTCCTTTTCTGAAACAGGGAAATCTATGTGTATTCCATCAAGACAAGGTGATACTAAGAGCAGAGCCCTGCTCCATATCCCAAGTCCCAAGAACACAAAGAAATCCTTTCCCATTCTACTGAAAGGAGATAAATTCAGAGTCAGTTCAAGAAACTAAAGGTCAAATTATTAAGTATTGTCCTGTGTTTGCTAACTCATATATTGTTCTTTCATTTTTGAGAGTCCGTGTTAGCATCAAGAATTTTTTTTTTGTTGATACAATGAATTATTAACAAAGAAATTGAATTACACTCAGGTCAGTTAGTATATTCAGAAATCAGTGTACATAATTGAAAACAGAACAGGAAGAAATCTTGCTGTAATTTTCTAACTGAAGGAAGTTGAATTTACCATTTTCTCTTATCATCTTTGGCTGGCTAAAAGGTGCTTCATAGTAAATGCAGTAGAAAATGTTATTAAAAATAAATTTGGGCTAATATTCCAAACCCTAACATTTTAATTCTATGATGGCAGAATTCTTCCTAAATTAGAGTGCTACAAAATGCATCGTGTTTGGAGGAATGTAATTCACATCCTGTTATGATGTTAAATTTTATACAGTTTTCTTTGATAGTTCTATATGTTAGGGTTTTTTTAGCAATTGCTTATTTAGATACTGATGCATTGAAGCTTCCTAAAGGGAATGCAGTTGTTTTAAAATTTGTTATGCCTTGTCTGACAGTTTAATTACATCAATTTCTTTCTCAATATTTTTATTCAGAGCTCTGAAATACTCCTTCTTCTTTTTCTTTTTCAGCATTGAGGGGGAATATGTCCCGGTAGAAGGAGATGAGGTCACATATAAAATCTGTCCCATCCCACCAAAGAATCAGAAGTTCCAGGCTGTGGAGGTGGTGCTCACTCATTTAGCACCACATACAAAACATGAAACATGGTCAGGCCAAATAATTGGCTCATAAACTACTTCTTGAGCCTGCAGGAAGTGGAGTTGAATGATATGGTGGGTGGTGGAACTACTGGAGCAATGAAAGAACCAGGCTGGCAATTTTTGTTTGCTGTGTGACATGTTTGCAATTTTATCTTGTCTTTTCTAAGATCTAATCTTAGTTTGTAAATGTGCTTTTTTGTTATAGAAGGGCAAGCAAGAAGTGGAAAAGTGTTGCTGGATAGATTTACACTTAAGTCATGAATTCCTGACTGTACCCAATAGGACGAAAGTAATCTACTGTCAAAGTAGTATATATTGGCCACCCTGATGTTTACCTGGTTCTATTCTAAATAAATTAGAAATGAAATTGGCTATTATCCTATCCCTTTAACAAAATTTTCCCTTCCATCTTCAGCAGAGGCTGTTGCATTGTCATTAAGCACCCTTCTCAGGCAGAACTGGCATTCAGTGAGAAAGTATTTTTCAGGGCACAATTCTGTATGGTCCAAACATGGTGAAGCTGTCATTCTTCCAGAGTTTTCTAAATCACCTGCAGGGATGTTTGAAGTTTTTTTGGGGTGTGTGTGTTGTATTTCTTTACATGTATAATCATATGCAAAGAAAGAGCCTATAGGCTTGCTCCTGCATTTGGATTGCACTTCTCTACATTTCTGTTTATCTTTGGCTGGGTTTGAGATCAATGGCTTGGTTACCACTGTTGTGTATATAATTATAGTTATAGCTTCAAGTCTTCTTTCAAAAACACTTCATGCATAGTGTCTGAAGTAATTATGCAGTAATCCAATAGAATATAACACTAAGGGAGGAGCATTTCTAAAGACAAATTAATAACTCACTGTGAAGTTTTGTTCAAATATGTGTAAAATGGGTGGAGGGATTTTTTTGGTCTCATAAAAGATGATATTACCAAAATCAGGATCTTCTGTTTATTGTTATGCAAGGGAGTCAGTAAAATTTTGCAGGTAGTTGAAGAAGAAACTTTTCTAAATGTATTAATCTCAAACTGGCTTTATTTTTTTCCATATGCACCACAGTGGTTTTTCCCAGTTAGCCTGAACTGTAGCAGTATCTTGCTTCCAGACTGTTGTGATATACATTCATATTATACTTAACCAATAACTTTTCTTATTTTTTCTGTTAATTGTAAACTAAATTGCATCTGTTTTTTTAAAAGGATAGAAAAATATAATACAGGAATGGTAATACATGATCTTCCATTGATTGCAATTAAAAGTATGTATCCAAGGGTATTCTAGAATTCAGCCTCTACTGAAATGTGTTATTTTGCTGACATTGTACTTTTCATATACAGTGTTAAGTATTGCCCATGATTGCATTTGTGTCTACTAAAAGTAATACATAATAAAATCCCCTGCAGATGAAGTTTCTTTGTTAGAAGATTATATTATTATTAACATTCAAAAGGGACTAGAATGGTCTTCTTAACATAGTGTCTCCAATGTTACTGGGAGCTGCAATTCCAACTCATTTGGTCTATATCGTGCTAGGAAAAACTGAAATAAAATCACCAGGAAGCATCTGTTTTATCCTCTTATATTATGAATGATAGTTTCTGGCCATGAAGATCTGCTTGAAGAATAGCATCTTTATTATGCTTTCACAGATGTAGGTTTCAGTATTATCTGCATGTAATTGCACTTCTGAATATTTTTCACAACACATTTGCTCAGAATGGATGTTTAGGCTAATTCTCCCATTCTCCCTTCTGTTGTTCAAACTTCAACATTTTAATGATTATCCTCTGTGTGACTAGACATTGAGGATTATGTGCAGAAGAGATAAAGAAATGTTCAGCAGAGGTAAAATTAATGGGTAGTATTAAATAATGGTATCTAGCAGTATTGTCCTTCAGTTGTTCCAATTCTATCCAGTCTTTTCCCCAACATCTTAATTCCTCAGGATATACAGGGTCTTGTTTAAAAGCACAATATTGATTTAGTGGATTAAGAAGAATTTCCCAGGATACCATGTACATGCTCACAACTTGCATGGAATTGTCAGGCAGTCTAAACTGTATCGTCTGCTGAGTTGAAAGCATATGGGCAGTGCCACACTGAAGTTGCATGATCTTGGAGAGAAAAGATGTACATGGCTAGTAAGTTTTTAAATTAATGCATGGAAGCAAGCACTATATTTCTAGGAATTAGTGAGTTTGTTTAAATAAATGAAGTAAGAATGTGAGAGCTGAGGATTTAGTGAGGCTTTCTTGAATGAGATGAGGAAGTCTGAAAGTAGAGCTATAGCATAATGGTACTGCAGTATGCTGGTGTCTATAAAAGATATGCTTTTTGTATTTGGGATGTATTTCCAATGTCCTTAATGAGGTGGTATGTGTGTGTGAATGTCTGTCCAGCATACCTTTACTGTTTCTATTTGTGGGATTTCAGCCCCTTTGATCTTTCACAAACTTGCACTTAGGTGTGAGGTGAGACGGAGGGTTCAGGATAGGCTGTTGCTCTGTAGAAATAGACATTTGACAACAGCCTGATGTTCATATTTAGTTTTCAAGGGGGGCATCCCACACAGATAGTTTAGTCCTACAGTATACTGCCAACCTAGAATCATGGGAAATTTTATGCAAGGTGGCCAGAAGGCGTTGAGTTCCTCTCTATTTATATTTCATCCCAAAAGATTAAAAAGAAAGCCCTCAATGCTATAAGGATTTGGGGACTTCCAAATAATACCAGAACTAGCTTTAAGGATGCCACTCTAATACAGTGTTTTTCAAACTTGGCAACTCTAACATGTGTAATTCATATCCCAAATATACATAGCCAGTCTGGGGAATTCTGGGAGCTGAAGTCCATATAATAAAGTTGCCAAGTTTGAAGAGCATTGCTATAACATAATCTTTCCCAACTTAGTTCTCTTCTGATTTGCTAGGACTACAACTGAAAAGCCACATTGTGTGGAAATTCTGGGATCTGTCATTTCAATACACTTGGAATGGGGTATATATGAAAGGGTTTCATACAATTTTTTCTTGGATGGATGTTACACTACGGCCAAGTTTTTAAAATATTCCCCCATAAACCCAATGTGGGTAGAATTGGAGTACAGCTTTAAGAAATGTTCTAGCCTAGTTCTTCCTCATGAGTTTGTTTCTTCATATAGGGAACTTAAAATAAAACGGTCCCTACATTCTCCCTCTGTTCCCAATATACTGTTAATTAACATATTCCAAGAAGTCTTTGTGTGGCATTATTACAACTGTGTTTGTGATAAGAAATGAGTTCTTTCCAAGCAAAGCTATAAAAAAAGTTGGTTAAGTTCATTCTGTGGGACATTACTGTTCCCTTGATCATGAAATGTCCTCATTATGCCGGTGTCTAATGATATAAATATTCTGCCTCCTTCAATTAAAATTCCAAATAAAACATTCCCAATTGTCTATTTTGAAAGGAAAGTCCATACATGCAAGAGAAAATGGAGTATAGTGATTTTGAAAGAAATTATCATTCATCTGTGTATAGATATAGAGGGAAAATTTTTTGGGACTTTTCCTTGAGATGCAACAGCTGCTCTTCAGTCCAATGAAGTGAGGATCTGAAGGCAGCCATTTTCCTTTTGCTGTATGAGACAGGTTTCCTGTGACAGCTGGAGGAACTTCCTGCACATATGTAACACCAGCAGCTTCTAGCCTATCTCCCTTCCTTGATGGTGCAATACCAGTGGGAGTGCCACAAAACTGTGACTTCTCTCTGAGAATGCTTTTTAATTCTTTCTGAAATAACCTTGTTATCTATAATGTGTCTGTGTTCTGACGACGTTTTGTGTGGTTCTTGCCTCTTTAATCCCATGTTGATCTTTGTAACATTGGCAATAAACCATTAAAGTAACTTTCCAAGAGTCTTCCCTGTTCTGAATTTTTTTGGTTTAACAATGGTCTTTTGATATGACAGTGTCTAAGGATATTGGGTAAAGGGAACAGGGAACAGGGTAGCTGTTCCTAGAATTTGTGATGCAGAGATGAAGGACACTAATCTGCTGGAAACTTTTTTGGTTAGCAGTATAATATATGCAGTCCATTTAGAGTTGGCAGTATTTCCTCTCCAGTCACTTGTAGACTGCAGCTCCTATCACTCTATGCTTTTGGCTATATTGTTTAAAACTAATGAGAGGTGGCACTGAACAACTTCTGGAATGTTGCAGTTTTACTTAGCAGTGAATTCAGATTACTTGGTAGTGAAGTCAGATCACTAGCCCAGTATTAGTAGTAGCTTTCTTAGGTTTAGATGAGGCATTTTCTCTTACGCTTTGCTACTTTTAAGTTTGCAAGTGTCCCTATTAATGGATTTTACCAGTGACTTTTATGAACCTAATGATTTTTATCTGGTAGTATCTATCATTTCTAAGCTGAGGATAATAAATCATACATTCATTAACACATTGCAAACCATTCAGTTATAAAGATAGACATTTTAGCTTAAATTTTAATGAACCAGTGTAAAGTCATATTGCTTATTGATCTTCTGCTATGTTTTCACTTTTAATTTTATATCAAGTTACATATGTGAACTACAAAACAGACAATTGACAGTAGTAGGTTCTCATGTTTAACTCAATTTTATTAATGTCATACTTTTATAATGATATAAAAGCTGCCTGTCAACAAAGCCCCACAAATCTGTAGCTACAGAAAAATAGTTGGATTTCTTTAACATACATGGCATCCAAATAAACATTCCTGCTTAATAAAGTGGGGGGTCTGTTTTTTGATCCATCTGAGAAATAGACCACTTTGTGGCTTTCACAGTAATAAGTAGATCCCTGTATTAAGTACTTCATAACACAGCTGGTGGAAAAGGAATGGAAACTAACCTAAGAGCTGGCAATATTTATTTTAAAGCAAAAGCCTCAGCATCTCAGAAAAGAATGGCTCAATTTCATTACATTAATAATACCATGTTTCCCCAAAAGTAAGACCCAGCCCGATAGTAAGCCCTAGCTTGATTTTTGGGGGGGGTCTAATATAAGCCCTACTCTGAAACTAAGCCCTAGTTTTGGGGTGAGGCGCATCCCCAAAAATTAAGTTAGGGCAGGGCTAGGGTTGGTGAAGCCGCCCTACGCGCCCCGCACCCGCTTACCTTACCAGTAGGACCACCACAGCCAGGCCTCCCACACCCCAACACTTGTGCTGCTGCTTGACTACTTCTGCAGCCGCTTGCTGCCACTTTCTGGATGCCATGTGGCGCATTGCACCATTGCTGCTCGCGGAAAAAACACCACATGGTGCTTTGGGCCACTTCTGCTCCTCGCACACTTCGGGCCGCTTCTGCTTGCTCACGCAGCGCTTCGGGCCGCTTCCGCTCCTTGCACACTTCAGGCTGCTTGTGCTTGCTCGTGCAACGCTTTGGGCTGAAGTGCCATGTGTCCTGCCGCGAGCAGTGGATGAGGCCTGAAGTGCTGTGGGAGCAGAAGCGGCCCAAAGCACCATGCAGTGTCCTGCTGCGAGCAGCGGCAACGGCGCAATGCACCACATAGCGTCTGGTGGCAAGTGGCAGGAAGCGGCCACAGAAGAAAGCAAGCAGTGGCACAACAGATGTCGGGGTGTGGGAGGCCTGCCTGTGGTGGTCCTAAGGTAAGACACTCCCCGAAAATAAGACCTGGTGCCTCTTTTGGAGGCAAAAAAAAATATAAGACCGGGTCTTACTTTCGGGGAAACACAGTACCAGTTTCTTATCATCATCCTTTTATTTCTTTATAAGCCCTAATTGCATCACAATACAATTTATGAAGAAGGAAGCAAGTGATGAAATGCCTGCTCTCAAGTCTCTGAATTAGTGCCATGGTTACATGAAAGTACTGTAGTTAAAGGCATCCATTTTATAGCTTTATTGCATGACTACCACAAATGAAAAAAAATGACTTTTAACATCTCCAAAATTTGGAAGAATATTTTTGATATATCCAGTATGTGCAGCCTAACAGGAGTAAAGTACCGAGAAAGTTATGTTTTGTTCTATTTATCAGCCAATCTATCAAATTTTCATGTCACCTATCTCATGGAAAATGACTCTGGGCATTGTACAATAATCCAATTATCTTCCATTGCATTTCTTGCATTGAAGCCAAATTCTGCCTCTTTCCGTAACTTCTGCCAATTTATCTCCTGTATAGGATTATTAAGATCAGTACCCCAAGCTTCCTTTAAATATATAGTGGATCTTCTATTTCTGATTGCAATCACAACCAATAAATTTTTGAAATTGTTTTTTGGTTGTTTTAAATGATAAAGTATTAAATTCTCAAAATTGGTATAGGGTCATGTTACTGAATCGCTAATATTTCAGAAAAGCTTAGTAATTTGTCATCTATTGGTTGCTCAATTTGATCTTTATTGAAAGGTTACCTATTACTATAAAAATCTATAAATACATTTTCTCAAAGATAATAAACATCCTGATCTATTTATGTTGATAGAAGTGTTTAAAGGGGGAATGAGCTTTATCGAAACTGCATATCTACTCTTTCAAATTTGAAGCATTGTTTTAGTAAAAACATTTTCAATCTGTTTTATTCTAGAAAAATATTTTGCATAAAGTCAACTTATCTGATTCTAACATATCGTATTTCCCCAAAAGTAAGATCCAGTCTTATATTATTTTTGCCTCCAAAAGAGGCATTAGGTCTTACTTTCAGGTGGTGTCTTATATTTTCCATGACACCTGCCTCGTCTCTTGGCGGCAGCACCAACAGCATGGCGGCGGGCCAACTTCTGCTGTGACCGCTTGCAGCAGGAGGCCGCGCAGCACATCACGCCACTGCCGCCACAAGATAAGGCAGGTGGGGGAGGAGGTGAAGCTGCCCCACGCGCCCCACACTCACTTCCTTCAGCCCCCCCCAGCCAGGCCATTCCTTGTTCCCTTTCACTCCCCTCCCGAGCCGGACTGCCATGCTACCGTACGAAGGATGGGCGGGGTAGACTTGGTCACCCTCCGCCGTTTCAAAGCAAAGCAGGAGTGACAGCGAAAGGCTCCACTGCTGCTGTGCACTGCTAGAGGGGCTTTCTTTGCGCTTCACCCACAGATTATCTGCCCAGCGGCAGCCTCCTCCTCCTCCACCAACTCTCCCATGGCTTGCGCCATGACAGGGCAGCGCAAGCCTCCCCTCTGCCTCCTTCCGCCAGCCCTCCTTGCAAAAAAAAAAAAAAAAAAAGATCTCGCAAAGTTGGAAGGTCTGACTGAACTTTTTTTAGTCTCACGAACTCTGTTTCTCTGCAGCAGGAGACAAATGCGCGATGGTGTGCCAAGCTCTATAGCAGCGCCAGGAGAATTGGCAGGAAACGGGGCTGCCATTTCCAGAACAGGGAAGGGAGACACGGGGCGATGCAGGGCGGCAAGCAAGTGCTCTTCTCTGCTCTGCATCGCTGCGTAGAGCCGTTCTCCTCCCTGTTCTCTCCAGTGGTGGCAACGGAGGGCTGGCAGAAGGAGGTGGCAGGGGAGAGTTGGTGGAGGAGGAGGCGGCTGCCGCTGGGCAGATGATCAGTGGGGCGAAGTGCAAAGAAAGCCCCTCCAGCGGTGCACAGCAGCAGCAGAGCCTTTCGCTGTCACTCCTGCCTGGCTCCGAAACGGCGGAGGGCGTTCAGGCCTACCCTGCCCATCCTCCGTATGGTAGCATGGCAGTCCGGCTCGGGAGCGGAATGAAAGGGAGCAAGGAATGGCCTGGCTGGGGGGGGGGGGCTGAAGGAAGCAGGTGCAGGGTGCATGGGGCAGCTCCACCCCCTCCCCATCTGCCTTGCCTCGTTGTGGCGGCAGCCGCACGATGTGCCGTGTGGCCTCCTGCCCCATTGCAGCAGCCAGGTGGGACGGAGTAGGCGGGGCCCTAAATAGGGCTTATTTTTGGAATAGGCTTTTATTAGGCTCACCCCCACAAATCAGGGTAGGTCTTTTTTTCAGGGTAGGGTTTATTTTCGGGGAAACACAGTAGTTTCAAAATGAATTCATTGTTGAGACAACTTTCCCAGGATAAATAGAATCATATGCCCTACTGCAATGCTTGATAATGTATTAACAAATTGGGCATGATCCAACCTCCCTGTTTTTGTGATCTATATAAATCCTTTAATTTACTCTCAGTTTTTGTGCATTGAAATACTATAGAAGCTTTCTATTTATTTATTTTTTGCCAATATCTTAAAGCCTATTCAGGAGTTACCACAAGGAGGCACTGAAATAAAAAAGCTGTGCAAGAATTTTCATTTTAATCACTGCAGTTCATCCTAAAATATTGAAATGTTTTGAAGCCCAGTTTTTCATTTATTTCATTTCTTTCAAGTTGGTACATAACTATTTGTAAAGATTTTATTACTATTTTAGTTATAGTGCATATATCTCCCATTTGTATTCCATTAATCTGATTATTAGATCTAAGTGCTATTGCCAGCACTTCTATAATTAGGTTGGATAACTAAGGTGATAAAGTACAACCCTGCTTGAAGATTCAGACTGACTGGGCAATGGGAAGAAAGTGCAAGCAAACAATATTTTAACAACTGAAGCTAAAGCAAGGCTGCTCCTCAGACCTAATTGTGGGAAGGTGCAGTTGCAAAATGCAAGGCTACTAAGATGTGTTGACCTCAACACACAAACTGTACTTTTATTGGACCAAAAATATATTATCTATGATAAAATAAACCTGAGCACCAAAGTCATACTTTAAACAGATGATTTCACATATTAGATCAGAAACCTCAGAAGAATATTCTAATGGATACTGAAAGCCGAGAATGGTGATGTCTATGATTAATCACTTTCAATAGGATCTGTATTTACTTTCTAGCTCCCTCTGCATTCTGCATGGCTAGTAATGGATTAGGAGTGTTTTCCCTATTATTAGCTTGAAAAAACAACTGATTCCAATTTTTTTTAAAAATGGCAGGCCATTTTAAGGGTTCAAGAATATGAAAATACTTTGAAAGGTTGTTTTCCCTTTAATAGCAATAACACTTAGACTTATATGCTGCTTCACAGTGCTTTACAGCCCTCTCTAAGCGGTTTACAGAGTCAGCATAATGCCCCCAACAAGCTGGGTCCTCATTTTTCCGACCTCAGAAGGATGAAGGCTGAGTCAACCTTGAGTCAGTGAGAATTGAACTGCCGGACTGCTGGCAGCCAACAGCCAGCAGAAGTAGCCTACTACTTAACTTACTAATATTATTATTTTAATCTCAGAAATTGATTTGGGTGAATATATGAAGAGATTACCAGCTTTCTATTTCTCTCCTACTCTCACACAGTTTTAGAAAAAGGACAGTTTCCTTAAAACAAATCTTTTTGTTTTAGGGGCTGGGAGGATGAAATATGGCAGCCAGAGTTCTGCAGATTCTTACTACTACAAACTGGTGATGGCACTTTAACTCTCTTTCCCTTTTCACACTTCACCTCCATTTCCAAAGTGCATTTCAACCTTGGGCTTCAGCAAGCCTTGATTATAATTCAAAAGGTGCTTTTATGAAGTGAACAAGAAGAATAGCAGCAGAAGATCCAAGAGTCAAGATCTGTTCATTGTCTCTGAAAAGAATATCTCTCGACATCGCCGAACTGTGTCCTGGGGAGAGTGGATACTATGTCCTACTGTCCGAGGATCATCAAAGATTTCATAATCATTCCCACCCTAAAGATATAAAGAATATTAGTCCATCTGCTTTATACTTTTGAAGTTCATGAGGCTGGAAACGCTGTGACAGCAATTACGGAAAAAACATATATCCAATCCTCTGCCTCCACTGAGACAGGGTACCTGGCTCCACTTAGATTAGCCCATGCCAATCTGGATGTGCCAGTTCCCTGGGAAATTATAGTCCATCTAAAAATCCATAATTGAGAAAGGATACAAAGGGGCTTAAGAACTGGTTTAGGCAAGAATAAAATTTAAACAGAATAAAAGTCTTAATCTTCATAGGTGGAAAAAGGATCTTACTCACATCCCAAAGTTAGTGACTCTTTTAAAAAATGCATACAGATAGTCCTCAATATATGATTGGTCACCTAACATTTGTTTGAAGTTATGACAGACAGACACACCCTAAAAGCTACATACAACCCTGTTTTTAAGTTATGGCAGCTGCAGCATCCCCATGTAATTCGCTCTGAGATCAACTACAGGTTCACTCCAGTACCTCTCCATCTCCCCCCCCCCCATGCCACCCCACCAGGAGCCTGCAGTACTTGGGCTTGCTCCCCACGCATCCCGGAAGAGCTGCTATTTTCAGCAAACCAATTCCTTGCAGAAATGGCAGCTGCTTTCAGAACTTTCTGCCCAAACAGCTGGCCGTTAGGAGACTGCAAATCTCTCTTGGCTCTTGCTAGGCTTTTGGGAAACTAGTTGCCTACTTGCAAAGGTAGCAGCTTTAGGACAAACCTTCTGCCCCAGTCAGAAGACTGCAAACCTTTCCTTGCTCCTGCGAGGCTTTTGGGAAGGCAACTGCCTGCTCGTGGCTGGCTTCCTCAAAGCCTAGCAAGAGCCAGGAAAGATTTGCTGTCTCCTAATGGGCAGCTCTTCTGTCTCCATTTCATGCAAGCCCATGGAAGAACTAACAAAAATGGGGGGGGGGAACTACTGAAGAAGTTGCTTTTTACAGCAACTCTAATCCGTTCTCCCAAAAAAGCAGATTAGTCTCTAAATTCTCCCTTTCATGTGTGGATGAAACAGTCCATGGAAAGAATGACCTGACTGCCAGAACATATCATGGGCTGTGGATCTGCATGGATCTTGCAAGATCTTGATACAAGCTGGCTTTGTTGTACAAACAAGGCCTTCATCACCGGAAATTCTGATGAGAGAAGCATTTGTGGGACCCTTCAATTTGTAAACAGGCAATGTCTGAGGCTCCCAGGTATGGCGACTGATATTTTCAAACATTGAAATTACACTTTGAAGATCACCAGAGAAGACATCTTTGAGCCATAGTGGTAACTGGGCTCTGAGAAGAACTTATTCTGATAAGAACACAGGAAGTATTCTCCTTGGTCCTATACATGTTGGGCTCTTGTCAAAAAGAAGGTTTCTTATCATATACTTACAGGGGTCGTCTCATTTCCAAAGAAATGTATGACATCAAATTTCTCATCCTCAAGGATGTTGAGGCAATAGCGTTTGTCCCAGCCCTCCGGAAAAACGTCAAAACTAATCATACCACCTGTCAGATTTAGAGAAAATTAAGTGAAAATGAGATGAGATTTTTTTATGGGAGGGGAGGCTGGTGGTAAAATTTTCCTTTGCTATCTCTGGCATAAGACACTGTGCCTTTGTGCAAATAATTGTTTTTTACATGACACATGGATCTGCACTGCTGTGTCGGCCTGATTCCCAGACACATTAATGTTGGAGTTGATGTTTCCATAGCAATGAGATTAAATGGCATTAGTGGTGGGCCCTCAGCTGAAGACGCAAACAAGAAACAGTTGATTTGAGTACACATGATGTGCAGAGTTCAAGTACATTTCAGAAAAATATGTGAAAATGTGCTTAACAATATGCCTAATGGGGGAAAGGATTCTTTTATCATGCTCTGGTGTAGCTGGACTACAAGAGACACTCATGTTTATCATAAACCCATGTTTATCATTTATTATTTATTTGTAAAATGTATTAGCCACTTATCTCACCACATGGTAACTCTGGGTGGTTTGAGGTTAATTAACCTCATGAGGTTAATTAACATGGATGGACCTAGCAGATGCCTCATGTAATTCAGTTTAACCCTAATACTACAGGGGCCTTCTTTATGAGTGCTTAGAATATCATCTCTGCTACGTTGGTAGCCCAATACTTCTACCTATATAAGTCTGGCATGTTGGCAGCATCCATCTCCACAAGGAACAGTGTGTCCTGCTAGCACCATAGGAAGAAATTTTGCCAAGTGAAGAACTGATATACAGAAGGTCAGGCTGTGCAAAGCTCCACTTGCATGAGAAACCTACCTGAATATAACCCTTCCTTCATTCCAAGAATGCCTTGGCATTCTTTTGATATCCTTTCAGCTTTTTGAAGAATGGTCTCCTATTTCCTCTCAGTCTTCTCTGCTCAAGGCTATATATGTCCCGCTACTTCAATCTCTCTTCATAGGGCTCAATGTCCGTCATCTCATTTATCAATTATGTCCATTGGATTTCAACATCTCCATTGCCCTTCTCTAAAGTATTCTTACAATGTGTGCCAAAGTAATACAGGAATGGAGTCTGAACAAAGTAAAAGCATTATTTCCTGTGATTTGGAAACTTCAGTTGATACAAACTAAAATTGTACTTACCTTTCCTGCAGTCACACATCACTTTATATTCACCACAGGCCTCCTTTAAATAGAATTTGATTTTTATTTTCCAAATCCCACTCAAAATAAAATGCACTAAAAAGCATCCAAAATGACTGCGAGAAATTTCTTATACTCACCTCGGGAAAATCGCAGTCCCTTGCCCGCAAACTCCCTCTGCAGAGCTGCTACAAATTTCTCTCGTATCTTTTCTTTCTATAGTGGAGGCAATCAGAAGTGTGAAAAGAGATACTTCAGTTATTTTTATTTATCAAATTCCACTTTTTTTCTCCATAGAAATCTGTGCAAAGAGCTCTTCCAGTAACCTGTTAGATTAAGCTTCTTGTACAATTTCAGCTTCTGTGCATAGTACATCCTGTTCATAAAAACTAAAAAAAAAAAAAGATTTACAGGAATCCTAAAGCAGTTGTACATCATACCGGTAATAAAAACATCCCCACCAATAATGCATTGGGCAGCCTAATACTTGCATTTACCTTGTCCAGTTCAGAAAATTCTATTCGTTCTTCCAAGCTGCAGCTTCGACCAATGGGAGAGACGTTCAACATTCCATTGCGAAATTCTATGAATGTTCCCCTTTGTATATTTGGAGGAGAAAGAAGAATATAAGTATGAAGGCAGCACTGTACTGTTACAGAGGCTCAAAATCTCTTCGGGTTGAAGCAGAAGTGTGCAACTTCTGTCTTAAAGAAGGCATGTAGCCTCTACAAGCACCCTCTGACAATCCATAGTATTTCAATTTTGGGTTATTATAATTCAGCGTTAAAACAGTTCCATTTCACTGATAACTGAATTTTTGAGTGATGTTATTTCAGTGATACTGAATTTTTAAAAGACAAGCATAGGAATAGGAGCAGGAAATTTCTGGAAGGCCAACTATTCCTATTTCTATTGTCATTCCACCATCTTCCCATGACAAGTAACTATTGGAGAAGTGAGAGAGTTAAACTACTTCAAATTTACTCTTAATCACAACCCCCAATCTCAAACACCATTTAAAATCACCTAAAAAAAAAAAGACTTTCAGCTGTTATTTTTAGGACCCAGGCAGATTGAAGGGTCTTCTGTTGCTATCCCCACACTTAAAAAGCAATTGCCTATCAATGCAGGCTGAAATATCTCAACAGCAACATTTAAGATCATGCCTCCGTGTTCCTCCTCCTGTAGAAGGCTGAATATGACACTTATACCCCAAATAATTAACTGAAATTGCTTAATTTTGAGAAAATATTCTATTTTCAAATTCGGGTGGAAGGTTAAGGAATTTCTTCTCAATATACCATCTAATTAGTTACAAATGCTAACAAAATGGTTAAATAATCAGAAAATGGGGAAAAATTATTCTTGGATAAAATTGTTCCTTTTTTGTTTTGGCTGTGGTTTGTTCTCCAAGCTTGTTTTAATATAATTTCTGAACATTTCATTACCAAACTAGGTAACATCATCAGCAGGATTTTCTTGTCCTATTCTCCTTAGCTTATAAATGTCTTGTGTGCCAGTGTGGTCAGTTGGTCATGCGATTGATTGTTTGGAGCTATATTCAATGGCAAAATCTATCAACAAATACAAGGCACACCTATGGGATCACCTATATCTGGCCTAATAGTAGAAGCAGTAAAGCAGAAACTTGAACACAGAGTCCTGCCAACCACCCAGCCAAAATTTGGGGTATGTTACATGGACAACACTTTTACCATCATCAAACACACCAGACTAGAAGAAACACACCATCTACTCAACAACGTAGTCACTGGGATGGGTTTTACACGTGAGGAAGAAAAAGAGCAATGACTCCCCTTCCTAGATATTGACAAGCAAACATCATGCCACACACAAGAGGAACTGCATCCAGACCCTTTTCAAAAGAGCCAAAACACATTGCAGCACCAAATTATTAAGAAAAGTAGAAGAGAAACACCTTTTTGATGTTTTTCTCCGCAATGGCTATCCCAAAAATTTCCTAATACGATGCTTCTCGTTCAAACCCTGACAAAATACACAGCCAGACACAACACAAAAACAAGTCCTGCCTTACATCAAAGGAACATCAGAAATGGCTGCCAGAATGCTGCAACCCCTAGGAATAATGATAGCTCACAAACCCACATTACAGAGCTATCGAAATCAAAGACAAAATTCAGAAGGAAGACAACAGCAACATAGTATACAAAATCTATTGCAACAATTGTGAGCAGTTCTATGTGGGACAAACAGGAAGGCAATTGAAAACAAGGGTTCATGAACATCAACTAGCAGTTAAACGGCATGACCAAAAATCCCTGATCTTAAACCACATTGATGATAAACACCAATTTGATTGGGAAGAAACAAAAATTATTGGGCATGCCAACACCTGCCATACACGTGAATTTACTGAGGCCTGGTATTCCACCAAAGGAGCAATTAAGAAGCATATTGATCTAGACCCAACATATGAATATGTAAGAAACCAGACCATTCAAGTGCCAATCAAGAGAACCAATCAGCTTCTCAGAATTCAAATATACCTCCAAACAAACAACCAATCACATGACCAACAAACTACACTGCACATAAGACACTGATAAGCTAAGGAGAATAGGACAAAAAAATCCTGATGATGATGTTACCAAGTTTGGTAACGAAACATTCAGGAATTATATTAAAATAAGCTTGGAGTACAAACCACAGCCAAAATCTAAAACCTGAGCTACAAGTATTTTCTATTATTTCCACATTATTCCTTGTCTAGGCAAAGAAAGCTGGGTATTTCTTTCTTTTCCTGTGATCCAAATTCCACATATTATATGGTAAAATAGAATCCTCGTATATCGATATAAGAAAAGTGCATTACCGTTTCTTGGGCAACTTTAGAAGAGCCATGTAATTAAGGCAGAAGTTGATCAGCTCTTGCAAAAGTTCCTCTCCAAGATGGTTCTGGATAGCCTATGAACAAAGGATACAATGGATAAAAATGATCCTTGATATGGATAGCAGAAGACAGCAGATAGTTTCACTGTACATGATGTTAATTAGAAACAAGGGAGGCTTTTGCCAAAAGGAGTAGAAGTCAAGGTAGGTGACATCTTAAAATGTTGTTCAACAAATTTTAAGATGCAAAAAAACAATTTTACCTTCTGCAGTAGTACTAAAATCAACGACATTTCTAGATTGTCATATCTGGATGAAGAGGATTGGAAGGAAAATAATAATCTTAAAACAGCCTCCTTTGACTTGGTGTCCTCAAAATCCAATTAGGGCTGTTATTTTCAATAATTCCAGCCATTTCTGAGAGTTACAACACATTTAGCAGATGATGGATCAGAAAATGTTGTCTTATTAAATATAATTTAAATGTCTCTATTATCTTGCATTTTGTGTCAGAAAAAAAATAATTTATAACGTTCAAACATATCTGGTACATTACATTATGAAATAATATTTTTTAGGCATCACTCATTGAGATTTTGCTTTCCCTTTGGAGGTTTATTAAAATGGTATGCAATACTCTTTTAATAGTCATCCAGAGATAACTGAGTTTCAGTTCCCGGCAAACTAGGTCACTATAAGCACCAGTGAGGGTTGGTGGAAATAGTAGCTTGGCAACAAAAATTATCCATCCTCTTTTTTAAAATAAGGTTATTCTTTATTTCAGATTCCTATGTGAAGCCAGATGAGTTGAAAGGGTTTTGAATATAACCTTCTCGCTACGAGTGATTTCATGTGAAAAGGAATGGCAGGAAAATATTTGTAACATCAATGGAGAAACAAAGAGGCTAGCCCTACCTGCTTTGAGACTAGTTGCCCATTCTTGTATTGCACAGTGCCATTTTCTGCAAAGACGTAATCAAACTTGTTTATGACTATTGGGAGAGTAGAGAAATTAAGACAAAAAATCAATGGAAGAGAAATCAGTCAAATATTATTGCAACTCTTTTCAGCATTCAAATGACTAGAGGCCAAGGTGGAGGAATTAATTGAATTCTATTTGCACTGTTTCTCTAAAAAAGCTGTGTAAACAGTGATGCTCATTAATAATTTTAGGAGTGCTAAACTGGCAGAGAGCAGTATATCCCTTTAAATTCTGAGTTCTCACCTTTCCTTGGAAGGAAGGATTCAGAATCTGATATTGTACTGTTTTTGTTACTGACAACATGATGACTAAGTGGAACACAGGGATACGTAATAACTTCCTTTTTTTATATTGCACTGAATCTAGCTTAAACTGAAAGCATACAGTGAAATTCTACTAATTTAATGGTGTATCTGGAAACTTGGACTGGAAAGCAATATAGCCCTTTCATGGAAATTTATGTAAGCATGGAATATTAACATTTTCCAACCATACTTAGATTGTTGCGGGCTACAAGTAGGGGACTGATTGCTTGTTACAAAAAATAAAACTCATGATTTCTTTTTCTTTTCTGAAAGTTACTTTAGTTTAGTCTGTTAAAATTTAAATTGCAAGTTTCTGTTGTTTCCTATATCCCTGCATTCTAGAGTGTTTCTATCCTTGATTTTTTTCACCTGAGTTTTCTGGTTATGTATGCAGAACTGTACATTTAAACTTAAAGCCTGCCACATAAGTTCAAGGAAAGAGTATAGGAAGACCTCTTGCAAGGCTGCTCCTGTGCTCAATAGCCTTAAAACTCGACTTTGCTGCTTTGTTCTATGACTTTAAAGCATTTGCATAGGAAGGAATGCCCAGTCTCTTGGTTGAAACTCTTAATAATCTTTACATTAAAAGTAATAACTTGTCCAGGATACTTAAAGCAGAGAGAATTCTGCTATAGGAGAATTCGACACAAGTTTACATTTTGTTTGAATTATGGTTCACTAACATGAGTTGACACTAATATGTAGCCACTCAATAATATGCAGCCAAACAATAATAAAAATTCTGCAATATAAAAATGAAGTTAGATAAAAGAAATATGCCTTACTTACCTTCATCCCCTTCTCCAAGCTGTTCTGCTATTTTGGAGTAGTCTGAGCCTCCAACCACCCCAATCATCACTCTTTTACGCAACTCTTGAAGAAATTCTGCTATTTCAGGCTCAATTTTCTGATGGAAACACAGAAAAAGAGATTCTTATGGAAAACCTATGGATAGCAACATGCTGATATTATGGAACAGACACACGCACAAAACTTTGAATCCTGTGTTAAAATCATATAAATCCATCATGGTGGAATAAGCATTCATAAGCCAGTGCAACTGATGTTTAAAATCACCAGATAAATTGTAATCAGTAGGCTAGAAAACCCTTATCTAGAAATGGTGGAAGAACAATAAAATGTAAGAGCTTTGGACAATCCAGGGAAGGGAGACTGGAAATGTATGGCCAATTTTTCCTTCTGCTCATATCTCTTCTATCTCATTCTTAACCACTCAGAACTTCTTGGTCTTTCTTTTTATAAACCACAGACATTGCTGTATTACCTAGGTCTCCTTTTCTATTCTGTCATGGTTTTTGTTGCTTCAGGGCAATGATTTTGGCTTTCTGGACTTTAGAGGGATTAGGGCAGTGGTGGAGAACCTATGGCACGCGTGCCAAAGGGGGCACTCGGAGCCCTCTCTGTGGGCACATGCGCCTCGCTCTTTGGCTAGGTTTTTGCAGGAAAAAGCCATTTCTCAAGCCCCTTCCTAGCCAAAACAAGCCTCCGGAGCGAGCGCGCTGTTTTCAGCTTTGAATTATATCAAATCTGACACCAGAAAGAAACTTAACAGATGACCTGAGTGCTGCCTGCAGTGTTGCTCTCAAACTTACGAAGTATAAGCCAAGGTTAGACAAATTATCAGCATGCATACAACAGCAAAAATCACATTAATTGTTCAAAAGCATGCCAAATGCAAACTTTTACCTTTCAGTAAAAAGTTGTTTGTATCATTGGAAAGCTTTGTTATTGTGTTTTTCTTTTAAGACAAAAGATGTTAATGTGTGAATTGTTTTTTTCTAAACTAAAACCTCAGTATTCAGATTAAATTGCCGTGTCGGCACTTTGCGATAAATAAGTGGGTTTTGGGTTGCAGTTTGGGCACCCGGTCTCTAAAAGGTTCGCCACCACTGGATTAGGGAATAATAAGTTAGTGCTGAGCATATTTTCTTTCTAAATGATGGTTGGGGGTAGTGATGTGCTGATCACCTTGATAAAGGGCAAGATACTACTATATTTGTCCAAGTGTTTGTTTTTCAGAATTTGACCTAAATGTAATTGAAAGTTGGAAGGGACTACTATCAAGACTTATTCAGTGCGTGATTCGTCCCTCATCCATTTCTTTGCTGGATTGATATCCTGATTAAAATACCAAGAAGGTAATTTTGTTGCATTTTGTTGGAAATGCACTGAATAAGGCTTGATAGTCCCTTCCAATTTTCAATCATTATACTAAAATTGGTTACAGGTACTGTTAGCTCTGCCATAAGGTGAATGGATTAAAATTCTAATTGTAATATATTTGAAGGAAAAAAGTCACTGGAGGAATGGTATTTGTAGTAGCTTCAAAACAGACAAAGAGAATTAAGCTTGCATACAATGCCGGTTTATATGGTACTCAGCAGTCCAGCCACCAGGAGGTAGAGAGGAACAGAGAGAAAGGAATACAAGAGGAGGAAAGGAGGGAATAAAGGAAGGGAGAGAGGAAGAAAAGGGGGAAGGAAGTAAAGAACAGGAAGAAAGGGAGAAGGGAGATTTCCAATGCTCATTGCAAACTTTCCACAGGAAACTCAATAGGGAGGCCGACAGGAAGTTGCAATTTGCTCACACTCCCACTGATATTTTGCTTGCATGTTTCGCCATTTGGTTTCTCTGTTTAGGTGAGGAAATATCTGAAACAATGACCCAACAGTTTTGGGTTGTCTAGTAATGGATATAAATCTCCAAGCAATACTTAGAATGAATGAACCTAAGTATTAAATAGTCAGCCCATTATAGTACCTCCAAGTGTGTTGCACTTGCACTACAGGTAGTCCTCAACTTACAACCTTTTGTTGAGTCTATGACAGTGGTGGCGAACCTATGGCACGCGTGCCACAGGTGGCACTCAGAGCCCTCTCTATGGGCACGCGCGCCGTCGCCCCAGTCCTAGGCCTTCAGCTGGGTTTTATAAAACCTTTTCGCTTTAGGCCTCCGCCATGTGCAAAAAAAAAAAAGGTTCAATCAGTCAATTTCAACTTCTCGTGGGAAAAAAAAAGATCTTGCAAAGTTGGAATTGATTGATTGAACTTTTTAGTCCCACCCAGTCTGCTGTTACCACCGCAGCCACGCCCACCCAATTGGCCACACCCACACAATGTACCACACCCACATAATGGGCCAGACCCACCCGGCACTCGATGATACATAAGGTTCGCCATCACTGGTCTATGAAATTACAATGGCACAGAAAAAAGTGACTTATGAGCATTTTCACACAACTGTTCCAGCATCCCCATGATCATAATTTGGATGCTTGGCAACTGGTTCATTGCAGTGTTCTGAGGTCATGTGATCACCTTTTCTGACCTTCTGATAAGCAAAGTCAATGGGGAGGACAGATTCACTAAACAACCTGTTACTAATGTAACAAATGCAGTGATTCACTTGTAGCAAAAAAGGTCGTAAAGTGGGGCAAAACTCACTTAACTGTCCTGCTTAGCAACCAAAATATTAGGCCCAACTGCAGTTTTAAGTTGAGGATTACAATTATATCCTAGACCAGTGGTTCTCAACCTGTGGATCGGGACCCCATTTGGGGTCGATCGACCATTTCACAGGGGTCGCCAAGCAAGGGTGTCCGCCATTTTTTTTGTCCATTTCCCCCCCCTTTTTTGGCGGGTGCCTTACCTCCCTTGGGCTGGGCCAGCTGGTGATCAGCCTGCTCCGTCTCTGCCGCTTGCCAGCTACGCCTCGGCCGGCGCAGGGGGCGGAACCACGCATGCGCGGCGCTCCCGGGCAGGGAAAGTCCTCGACCTACGACCAGTTGGGTAGTCCTCGACTTACGACCGGTTTAGTCCTCGCCTAAGGACCGGTTTAGTCCTCGACTTACGACTGGTTTAGTCCTCGACTTACGACCAGTTGGGGTCACGGCATTAAAAAGGTTGAGAACCACTGTCCTAGACCTAGGCTAAATTGCTCCTAGATAACACTGGATTGATAGGGGCACTTCTGGATACATTTCGTTGACCATATTAATCCTATATACGCCAATCCTGTGGTAAGCACTCCCTAGGCCAGTGGTAGGCAACCTTGGCTCTTTTATGACTCGTGGACTTCAACTCCCAGAATTCCTGAGCCAGCCATGCTGGCTCAGGAATTCTGGGAGTTGAAGTCCACGAGTCATAAAAGAGCCAAGGTTGCCTACCCCTGCCCTAGGCTCAGTAGGGGCTTGAGTTCGCTTCCAGTGAAAGTTACTCTCTACCGTAGTACTGTAAAACATTCCGGATTTAATCTCTCCAATCTGAGCCGCTCACCCTCTTTACATTTCTTACATAATCGGGGCCGAATGGAAATCTTTTGAAAAACCCACCCGGGGCAATCTGCTGCTTCCCCCCCCCCCCGCATATAAAGGCAACCGAGCTCCCACACCGCGTCTCTCGCAACCGCCTCCCATCAGGGCTTCAAAGGGCGGGAACGAGACAGAAGAGGAGAAGCGTCCCTTTTTCCCCCGTTGGGCTCGCCTTGGGCTCCCAGGTTCAGGTTCGGATTCAAGCGGCGCCACTGCTCTGCGGTCCGCTTCAGAGTCCGTCCCGCCCGACCGCCCAGGCTCCCCCGGTCCCCATTCATTCCGCAAAAGTGCTCAAGGACGAGCTGAGGACGATGGCGAAAGCGGGAGGGATGAAGGCGAGGGTTGCCGATCGAGGGTTACCTGCCGAGCCGGGGTAAGGGTCCCGTCCACGTCAAAGAGGCAGAGAATGCGCGGCGGACTCCCGGAGGCATCGGCCATTGCACGTCGACCCCGCTTGCCTTACTCGGCGGCCGCAACTCCTCAGCGGCGAGAAGGCTACGATCCGCCGGAGGTGTCGGCCCTCGGAGGAACCAATTAGGAAGATGAGAGCTGCTCATGTGATCCTTTAGAAACCGGGCTGGCAACACGTCTGGGCCTGCCTGAGGGCTGCGGAGGATTGGCCGCGATTTCTGGCGCTAAAACTCCCAGGGCAGCTTGGCTGATCCGGATCCTTACGAAATCTTAGGCCGGCTTCCCCAAAACCGGAGAGGGATGAGTGATGTAAGCCAAGATTCTTCCGGTTACTTTGCAGAAAGGGGTTGGCCACTCTCAACCTACGTCCTCTCCTTTAACGTGTTCTTGGATGAGTGGCCACATCTCTATGCGTGGGGTAGTCACGTGCGAGTTTACATTAAGGGTGGTTTACACATTTGTACGCACTCGTGCATCTGAATGAATGAAAGGCTATACCTGAGATTGATGAGGTGCGGGGGGAGGGGCAACAGCTTGACCGTGCCTACTGCGATCTACGGGTCCTGCCCAGTTTCGGCTCTAGCCAAGTCTATTGCCGATGCCCCACAGCGACACACGGTTATTCAGTGTAATCTAATATAAATAATAGGCAACATACAAATTGTTGGAATGCGTAGGACTTTAAGAGTTGAGTATTGTTTACAAGAATATTCCATTTATGCTGATTTAATTAATGAACTCCTAGAGCATTTCATTTTCAGTTACTAATTAGATCAGGGGTAGTCAACCTTGGCTCTTTTATGACTCGTGGACTTCAACTCCCAGAATTCCTGAGCCAGCACAGCTGGCTCAGGAATTCTGGGAGTTGAAGTCCACGAGTCATAAAAGAGCCAAGGTTGACTACCCCTGAATTAGATCATTGATAAACGTCTATGGAGATTCTCAGTCATCCAGGCCATAATTGTCCCAAAGATGCTTTTTCACGAGGCAACTGGACTTTCTTGTTTTTCTTTGAAGACGTTTCACTTCTCTGAAGAAGCTTCTTGCATGAGAAGCCAGAGACTAAAACATATAAGGAACTGCTGGAATTGGGTATGTCTAGTTTAATGAAGAGAAGGACCAGGGGTGACATGATAGCAGTGTTCCAATATCTCAGGGGTTGCCACAAAGAAGGAGTCAAGCTATTCTCCAAAGCACCTGAAAGCAGAATAAGAAGCAACGGATGGAAACTAACCAAAGAGAGAAGCAACTTAGAACTAAGGAGAAACTTCCTGACAGTTAGAGCAATTAACCAATGGAACAACCTGCCTCCAGAAGCTGTGAATGCTCCAACACTGGAAGTTTTTAAGAAGAGACTGGACAGCCATTTGTCAGAAATGGTGTAGGGTTTCCTGCCTGAGCAGGGGGTTGGACTCAATGATCTCCAAGGTCCCTTCCAACATTATTATTATTATTATTATTATTATTATTATTATTATTATTATTATTATTATTATTATTACTACTACTACTACTACTACTACTACTACTACTACTACTAGCTGTACCCAGCCACGCGTTGCTGTGGCTCAGTCTGGTAAAAGCGTGTGTTGCTTTTACGTCCAACAGATGGCGCTGTTTTTTAAAAAAAGCATGTTTTTACCTGTTACAGGTGTGACATCTATATAATATAGGTATATAAAAACGCGCATATTTGAATGCAACGTTGTGTGAAAATTTCAAAGCAATCGGTGAACTTTCAGAGATTTAAGATTTTGAACAAACGAACATTTACATTTTTATTTATATAGATTATATTATTATTATTTTTATTATTATTATTATTATTATTATTATTATTATTATTATTATTATTATTATTATTATTATTATTATTATTATTATTATTATTATTAAAACAAGAAAGTCCAGTTGCCTGTGAAAAAGCATCTTTGGGATAGATCATCAATACTTGCAAGCTGCACAACATCATTGTAGATCAAAGCCCTGAAATTGTCAGACAGGAATATTTGGCATAAATGCTGCCCTTGTGGAACCATTGCACATACATCTGCATCTTTCAATATACAAAATAAAAACATAACTTTGTTGATCCATGGAAGAAAAATCCAAATTATACAGAGGGATAATATCTTTGTGTATGATCCACCAAAAAGTGACAAAAGTGTGTTACATTCTTATTGGTCCCACTATATATGTTTGGGTTTTTTTATTCCAATATGTTAATCCTTTTTGGCAAAATGTTGCACTGTAGAAGGTAGAAGACAATAGTGGTGCCTTAGAATTAAAATTCCAATTTTAAAAAGCATTTGTCAAGGTCGTTCATTACATTAATATTCCACATTACAATATGTTGTTCTTTAAGAACTTTCTCTACATAGTCTTGAGAAATGGTGAACTGCAGGAAGTTTTTTTAAAAAATGAAACAAATTCACGGACGACATAGTGAAACATAGATAAAGCTCAAGACACAAAGTTGAACTCAGATCGTGGTAAATGGATTGTTGATCAATGCAATTTCTTTGCTTTCAATATCAGGCAAAATCGATGACATCTGGAACATAGCAAGTCTTCACACTAAATTTCCAGTTTAATCATATTTCTGGGCAAAGGCAGAAGATCAGCATATACCACTTAATTATCTTTGGTGAAAATAATATTAGGAAGTTCTAACTTTTTATTTAAAAGATCAGTTCATCAAGCCTGCAAACATCTTAAAATCTGGAGCTTTAAATTTTTCTGGCTGACCCTTAAAAAAACAAGCATAAGCTACTATCTATAGCAAGGATGCATTATAATTTTTTAAACCTAACAGTTAATATTTATTCCTCTTTAATTAAGATATGTGTTTGATAGATAGGCAAAACAGTCCCCATGAATCTGATTGTGTGTGGCAACCAGCAGCTTAATGACACACCCTGATCCCTTTGCTCCTCTGTAACCTAGGAGAAACAAACAACACACCACTTTTATCACTTTAATGTGGAAGACCCAAGATTATATAAAGATCTATTTCCTAGCTTTATTCCCAGCTACCATACCTTGGGCTACAGCTATCATTTAATGATGCAAAAGAAAGAACAGAATCTGAAAGGTAAGTTTAATATGTGTTCACTGGCTGTGAAAGCAGAAGATGGGATGAAATTATTAAAAGGAAGAACAGTAGATTGGGAACTTCAGAGAAGATGTAATACTCTGTGGTTTCTGAAACAAATCTTTACTTTCTAGATACATTTCTATGGAATTTCTGATCCAGTTTTGATATCAAAATTCCCCTTATGTAAGATGGGAAAAACTGACATATTGTTTCTGAGACAACTGACTGCAATGTTCTGAGCACAACCTTGCATTTATTGCCCAGATCTAGACTGAGCAGGAAGATGAGATGAACTTAATTTATTTCTATGCATTAGGGTTCTTGATTAATCCCTGTGGGCTGTAAGGCAGGATTATAATTTTATTCATTTATTGCATTAATATCCTACCGCAACTGAATAGGAGGAAAAACAATAGTGGGTTACAAAGCAAAGTATCTCTTTGCCTGAGCTTATAGGTTTGGCTGGTTTCCATAATAACCTTTATCTTTCTTAAATGAGGTATCCTTTGAGATCACAGTCACAACATGATGAATTGTGATACGCAGGACAGAGAAATGTGATCCTTTAAAGTAAGAACTGGTTCTGTTCATTGGGATTTATCAGTGCTGCTACCTTATACCTAGAGCTCATGTAAGGTGGCTGTCTGCATAGCTGCTGCTGTATTTACAGTTCACCTATTGACTGCTAGATTGTCTGTATGCAGCTGCACATGAGTGTGCATGTTTGCAAGCTTACACATGTGGGGCCCCTCTGCCTACCAAATGGCTTTTGCTTGTTCTGAGTGGGTTTCTGTTTGAATGATCCAACTACAGAAATTGAGAAATAAAAATAGATTACAAGTAGCCTTGCTTGAAGTTTTGGTCAATGTTCAGACGGGTAATTAACTAGAAACCAAACAAATTCATTGCTCCCTAACATTTTCCTGGCAAATGTAGCCGCTGCAGCTACCCAGATTTTAGGTCAGTTGTGGATGAATGGGCAAGGGTGGTATCTCAGATATTGGTAAAAAAAAAAGCTTAACTTGACTGAACACATTAGATTTTTAAACCCTGCTTTTCTTATTTTTATAAATAACTAGCTGTACCTGGCCACGCGTTGCTGTGGCTCAGTCTGCTTAAATGGAAAAGAAAGAAAAGAGAAAGCACACGTTTGTAATATGTTTAATTTCACAATGCTTGTGGGTATACAATATTTTTTGTTGTTCCATTGTCTGTGCAGATATAGAGATTGTCTGGTTTGCTGACTCTTAGAACACGCAACATATAATTGTCCATATGAGAAGCAATCCGTGTCTAGATCTAAACCGCACAATTCTAAAGATTGGCCCTGAGTTTTGTTGATGGTGAATGGAATCGTAAAATCGTAGTGTGTGTTGCTTTTACGTCCAACAGATGGCGCTGTTTTTCAAAAATAGCATGTTTTTACCTGTCACAGGTGTGACATCTATATAATAGTAGGTATATAAAAACACACACGTATTCGAATGCAACGTGTCAAAATTTCAAAGCAATCGGTGAAGAACTTTCGGAGATTTAAGATTTTGAACAAACGAACATTTACATTTTTATTTAGATAGATATAGATATAGATTTAAGGCAGTGATGGCGAACCTTTTAGAGACCAAGTGCCCAAACTGCAACCCAAAACCCACTTATTTATCGCCGGATACCAGGTGGGCGTGGCTGTGGTGGTCATGGCAGACTGGGTGGGTGTGGCCAAGGTGGGTATGATCACCTCAATGTTGCTCGTGGGGAGGGACGCCTGTGGGGGCCGGGCAGGGTTGGGGGGGATCCAGGGGGTCTCTGGCAGGTGGGGCAGTGGGCAAGAGGCTTGTCCTGCGGGGTGAGGCGAGGCAAGGTGAGGCAGGGCGGGGGTGCCATTGTCACAGGGCAAGGTGAGGCAGGGGTCGGGGCGGCTGCTGCCTGACACCATCGGCCCCTGCACACAGAGGCCAGCGAGCGCATGGGTGCTGGGATGCATCCGGCCATGTGGGACTT